GAAACCAATAGGTGTGAGGTACCGATTCTACACCAAAGTCAGGTAGGAATCGTCATTTTCTGGCCACCGACGTACGAGCAAGAATAAAAACGTCACTGAAAGTTGAAGTCACTACCAAGAAAACAATCAATGGACGAGCTTACAGAGTTTCTTCGGACGACCCCATATGATCTCTACCTGCGGTGGGTTAGCCAATGGGCCAGCAAAATAGTAAAGACAGACCTCATCTGCCAAAGTGATCGCATGATCCCATACCAGAATTGTGAAGCCAAGGATGCCAACAGCCTTCAGATGTCTCCTCAGCCTGGACCATTGGATACATACTTAATAACCTACAACAGCTTGAGAACTGGTAGGAGGGGTTAGGAAACAGAGGAACACAGCACAGGTATGGCACTTACGCTTCCAGCGCCTCACTGATGATTTTGGCGTTCAGTGGGATCGACATTGTCAGAGTGACTCTTAGATCGAATACTAGCTGCGCTATGAACAGAAGATCGAATAGTGCTGCTGATCTCAAAGAAAGAAAACGGTACGCAGGGGAATCAGATCAGCGAAAACTCACTGATAAATATGTACTCGTGATGTCCAAAAGAGCGAACAATACCAGCACGGAGATGCTTCATGATAGCTGTGTTCAAAACGTGAGCGATGCCAAGGTCCAGCCTGCGAGGCGTTTGTACTTTACGTGATCACAAGGAAGCCCACGGTAACTTCCCCTGAATGCTGTCATTGAGAGCTTGAATAAAATTTTATTTGCCCTAAAGATCGGAACCGCATCAGGAAAATAACGGATCTCTTATATTATATGAGGTTCATGCTTGTTAAGCGGTAAACGAGGTCTTCACCTCTGCTGTAAATAAGCCAATGCCCATTCTTGAGGAGTCGCTTATGACGCATGTGAGGAGAGAAAATTTTGACAAGTCAATATATTTCACACAAGAGATTAATACGAGGGACGCGATGTGAAGACAAGGTACTGAGTAAATGGGCGAAGGCGCGAAGCGCTTCCAGCCCCGATCGAAGATCTGCCTAGGAGAAAAAGGTGAGCTGTGAATCCCCAAACGGTTAGGAGTCCGTAACGACGCAATAACAGCGAAGCCGCGAAAAACCCATCAAGGTAGGAGGGAAGGGCTACTCACGAGGGAAGGTATAGCTAATGAGTCCTGGGCATTGAAAAACGGATGAATTCTCCATGGAGGGCTGGGGTGGCTTGCATGAAGGGAGCCATAATTTGCACATGTTTTCGTAGATATGATTGAAATGCGTCGCTGGCCCAGCGGCCCTTTGTCTTGACGACCTCGAAAGGTACGTTCTGCAGTAGGTACTCCAGGGTTGAGCCGATCCGAATTCCATGTCCCTGGAGGGGATCTAGACTGGCGCCTCTGGCTGCTTGGGTTAAGCGGTTGATGAACTTGGCTTTTGTGAGGGGGCGGTGGCCGTTTTTGTGATGATATGCAAAGAGGGTGCCTCCTGCTGGAGGGTTGTTGATGGCCAGGTGGTGGAGAAGTGCCACCTCTGGGTCGGAGATGCTGTTTTGCCTGGCGAACAAGACGTCTTTGCCCTCTGTTGAAGTTTTCATTCGCGGGAGGTGGAAGACTCTCATTTCGAGCTGGTTGCAGTCATGCTCGATGGACGAGTCTGAGGGTTTGACATGGTGGTTGGGATTGAAGGACGTTAGGGTGGGAACGGTAAATTCGCCAACCCTGGCGGTACAATAGAAGGCGGTTGTCAAGCAACTGTAAACTGATGAGTCAAGGGGGGAATTGATGTTGAGTTGACCGTGAAGTGTGCAAATGAATTCGACTGTGAATGGGCGCCTCTTCTTGCGTTTCGAGGACGGTGGGGCTAAGTTCTCGGCTGCTTTGAGGAGTGCATCAGTTTCCTCGTCATTGAGAGCCCAGCACATACCGTGCAAAATGTGCCATGCTTGCACACCAAAGATATAATTGGCTATTGTCTTTCCGGAGTATGAGCCTGCGATGAAGGCGATGAAGGTGGAGATGAGGGTTGAGTCTGTGGGTGCACGGTCGTGTTTGGGAATCGAGCGTGAGTCACAGTAGATATGAAAAACCAGCAGCCCGGAGCCATAGGACTCATGGGTGCTTTCAGCCCATGCATGCAGCATGACCTCTTGTACCCTGGCCATGTCACTTGGAACGAGGGCGCTGGGGGTGGGCCTTGGCATGAATGGCGTCCATAAACGAAGCCTGTCTTTTGCTGTGCAGTGAGGGCGAAGGATGGAGGGGATTGGGGTAAGGTCAGCAGGGTAAGCTAAACATGGATGGGGAAAAATGTTTCATCAGTGGTTGGGGGTTATAACTCAACAAGTTTGCGGTGGGGGAAACATACTAAGCTTCCGCCGCTTTGTTAAGCTCTTCTCCTTCTCTCTTGAGCCAGTGGTTTGTGCTGATGCACTCGATGCGACTTGGGGAGAGATGTCCTTTGGGGGGAGCATGAATCATGACGACATGGTTGTGCTCTGAGTATGGTCGGCAGGTCTCGTTGGCCTGTAGAGGGGCATCAAAGTCAACAATGAGGCTCCCGAGAGAGGGATGGATAGGAAGGGGGGGCAGAAGTAAGGAGCGAGGGGGGTATTTTCCATGGGAGGGTTCGTCGGCTGGGTTGGATGTGCTGGGTACATAGTGGGGGAGGATGGTGCATGTGGCTGCTTCTGCGATGCTGTGGACATGCTTAAACACACCGTTGGTTGCCCGGTTATGGCTACAGCCCTTCCACCATCCCTCAACAACTCCTCGGTTGTCTCCGTAAACCTTAAAGCAAGGTATTGGGCTGGGTGCAGGTGCTTGAGTGATGGCGAGGACAAGGAATTCAAAGCTGATGGCTTCAGCCCATCCAATGTCACGGCTGTCAGCTTTCCAGCCAGGAATGAGTTGCCAAGCTTGCCACCAGCTGTTAATCCAAATTGTGATTCCCACGCCTGAGCTAGCATCTGAGAAGGTGTTGGGGTCGAAGACTTTGCAGGGTCCTGGGATGGTTCTGCTGACGGAGGGTTGGCATAGAGTTGTGGACCACCATCTGAGGTCGGCAGCGCAATTATGAGGTGGGGTATGTGGCATGAGAGGGTGGTCACCGAATAGGGGGAGCATGGCTTCCAGTTCTGTGAGGTAGGCTTGTTCGGCAGGAACAACAAGAGAAGCATGTAAGAGCTTCCCAAAGAGTTTTTGGACTTCAACGAGGGGGTGGCAGGGGAGGGCTTCCCAGGAAGATATTGCTGCCAGGTACTTCTCCTTCTTGCTTGCCGGGATCTCGATGGTGCGTGTTTCGAGGTTCCACATGAAGCCCGTGAACGGGGGCTTTGAGCTGAAGGGAACATCTTTTGCAGGTTCCCAGGGGGTGCCTGTTTGCATGGAGAAGAAGTCGATGTCATCCAGACAGCAGGAAAATTCTGCGTCTCGTGGGGAACGTGGGGAATGATGGGAGAGATCACGAATCAGGAATGAGCAGTCCTCATCAAACTCTTCAGAGCTGTCATCTGGGAGCTTGACCCCTTGGTACCATCTCCTGCCACCATCAGTGTGAAGGCTGCTGGCATCCTGGATTCCACAAGCCCACACTCCTCTCTGCTGGTTGAACTTCTTGAGGTATTCGAGGCATAGTCGGAAGAAGAGGTGGTCATTGACCCACTTTGAAAGTGGGCCAACTCCCTCGCTGCGGAGCAGGTCTGCCCCTGCATCGGCCAGGCCTCCATACATGCTGGCTGCAGAAGAGCAACCAAAACAGAAGCTAGTGTCAATAGCGAATTCGTTATTGCCTGTGCGAACCACTGTACCTGGGTATTGGGAGGGATGCAAAGGTATTGTCCTGTAAGCTTCTGCCACATCGCGTGTTGTGCCTTCTGATCCAGGAGGCAAGTGCCAAACCAATAAGCATATCGTGGCGAAGGTTCCATATGTGCATGGGTAGAGATTCGAGTCGATGAATGAGTTGATGGATGGGATGGGGTGTGGTAGGGATCTTGCGATGTGTGACAAGTTTTGGATAAGCCGGAATTTTCCTGGCCTCCCTGGTTTCAGGATGAGAGAGAGGGGGGCTGTCTGGAAGGGACCAATGAGGGCCTCAACGTCTGTAGCGGATAGTGGGCCCAGATAACGGCCAGCTTCAAACTCGCAGGAAAGAATTGTGGCGAACGCATCAGTGTGCTTGGTGATGGAAGGGTGATTAGGGGGGGTATGGGTACTTGTAATGCTAGGAATACTGCCGTGAAAACCGTATTGTAATGAATGTGGGATGTGAGGGTATTTAAGTATGAGGCACGACTTGGTGAGTGCAAGAAGCCAAGCGCTGGGATTATATGGGGTGAGAGCTCTGATTTTTCTGTCCTCAAGGACAGCCTTGAGCACCATGATCCGCACTCCTGCAGCCTGAACATGCATCGATGTGCTCTTTGCTGGTGTTTGTGCAGCCGTTGGGGCATTGCCAATCGTAGCAGAGCTGCAGGCCTTGGGTGTTGATGAGGCAACCCTCCGCGTTTTGTCAGCAGAATGTGGGAGTCTTTCCATCCCACAAGAACTCGCTTTTGCATTTGTGGATGTTGTGGGGGAAGTGGCCGAGGCATAGAGTGCAGGCAAAGAGGCCAACTGACGTTGCGCTGTTCTGAAAAAGCTGCTTGTCTTGGGTGAGCTGCTTCTGGTCCTGACGGGGATGCTGGCATGTGGATGGTGACGTGCAAGGGGGAGGACGCCCTTGTGTATTGCAGGTTGGGGATCGTGAGCATGAGTGAGTCGCATGATTGCTCCCCCGCGGTTGGTTATGGTGAGAGGACGCTTGATCACGGCTGGATTGGCGATGGGTCTGCGAAGCGAGTTGGAACTGGGATGAGGGGAAGCAGTGGATGGTTAAGGGCCATTGGTGGTATGGGAGTGGGAGCATGGCAGCAAGCACCATTGGGGGCAGTGGCAGCATTTTTGGAAGTGGGTGTGGAAGCAATAATGGAAGCAGGAGCAAAATGTTGCGAGTGGAAGCAAAGTGAGTCAGGGTCAGCTATTGTGGTTCTGTTGGGTGGTAAAGGGGGGGAGACTGACCTCCACAAGGGTTTCTTGGCGAACTTTGTTCCATACTTCTTCGCCCATGTTCTTCAAGAGGGTGAGGTTGAAGACACTAATGTCAAAGGCATTGTTGAGGATGAGGGTGTTGTGCCAATCGCGACAGACATGAGCTGCATATAAGAGAAGTGCTCGTTCTCCGTATGGTTCGGAGCAGGAGGGATGAGACACAATGTTCATGAAGAACATCGTGAGAGCTTGCTGATGCTTGTCTGGCCATTTGAGCTTGTTGATATACAACAGGAAGCTGTTCTTGGCAAGGTCGAATTGGCACCACTCAAGACTGTGGTCTTGGATGGCTTTGCGGGAGGCTTTGAAGGATGTGACTGGTTTGAGGGCAATGAAGTCTTCAACTTTGGTGAGGCCGAAGGTGTCATCTGCGCTGGTCTTGGCATCGTCAGCTGTCTCTCTGTATCCATCTGGGCTGAAGTACCAGAGTTCAACATACTCGAAGGACTTGAGTTTATGGATCGCATATTGGGAAGGGCAGGGGGTAAGGGTGTCGCCGACAGCCGCCCTGATTTTGAAATCGTTGATCTTTGGTTTCTTCTTCTCTGCTTCGTGAAGTTCTGCTTCAGCTTCTTGTTCCAGGCGCAAGCATTCCTGGTCTACTCATTCCCGCTCTGTTTGTGCTGCATGAGCTGCAAGGCACTGGTCTTCGTCAACTTGCCTTGTCCATGCAACAACTCTGAGGTCGCAATCTTGTTCCCATGCAGTGGCAAGCTCATTGGCGACTTCTTCGTGTGTCATCTGAGTTCCTCTGATGATGCGATTTCTAAGACCCTCGAAGGTGGGTGAAGAAAAATCAGGCTGGATGTCTAGAACCAGGTCCGAAGCGATATGGGCCATATCGGATTAATGGGAATGGTTTGGGGTGATATTTATTAAGAGGTAGAAATAAGGAACACCAGTAGGTATGTTGGTGCTGATAAGGAACAGAAAATAGCTCGAATAGACTTAGATGTCTACGAGCGTGGTGGGGGAGCGGAAACGAGAGACGCTACCGGCGTCTTCCGCTCGCCCAAAGACAATACTCTAATCCTGCGCTCGTGCCTCGCTACGTAATAGAGTGGCAAACCTTGCTATAGGAGCCGAACAATTTCGGAGTGGTAACAGGTCAGTGAGTCACACATCACCATTCTCGTGCATGAGGTTCGTCGGGTATTCCAATTAGACTGATCCGAGTGACGTGAGCTTAGGATGATCCAAAGAAGCTGGCAGAGCTTCTAGCAGATTCTGGAAGCGCCATGTTGTTCACGAGTACGACTCGTACAGGGTTAAATGAGGTATATAAGTAACGAATGTTCTTGTGGGTATATCGATATAGTCCCGGGTGCGTGATCTTTTCGAAGGACCATAATTAATTTGTCGTGGCATAGGTGTACTCGGTAGTGGCGAACCCGACTCGGGAGTTTGTCGTGTCATACATCGAGTAAAACCGCTCGCTGTAGAAGAACAATTCAGTAATCTATTTTCCCAGAAAAAATGTAGCTCAGCGTACAGGAAACAATAGCCGTTCGTAAAATCCAAGCCAGAACCGGAGTCGCTCCCAATGTCACTGATGACTAGATATATGCCGTCGGTGGTGCCGCCAATGACGTGGTTTAACGATCGAGGCCAAATTTGCCCGTTCGGGGTGAGCTCATAAGTAACCTCACCAGTAGTAAAATACAAGGATGAGAGCTGGTTGTACTGCTCAGATGAGATCTTTAACAATTCAGTGCTCTCATCGAGGGTTGCCCCCGTAGCAGACTTATATTTGTCGAAGGCATCTGAACAGTGAATTAGAAGGGTTTCAATGTCGCATAGGACGCCTACCAGTTGCAATGAGAATGAGTGTGGTTCCGGTATCGACTATACCAGCTGTCTCATTCAAAATGGTCATAGACCCATAACTGATGGATTGATTAATGCCCCAATATGAATTCGCTGGAGATGTCGATGTGATCGATACATAGCTAATGTCTCCAGTAATTTTGGATGCGTCATGACCGCCGAATGTGAGCTCGCCGCTGGTATCGTTAGAGGAAGCAGGTGCAAAGAACACTCCGAGTACTTCCGAACTAATTTTTTTCTGCGCATGGAGGTTGTCCATCACAGTTGCAACTTCATATGTATTACTGACGACGCCCTGTGTTAAACCAACTGGACCAAGGCCAAGAATTCCATCCAGACCACGCATAGTTGAGGCGGCAGATGCAGATGTGACGCCAATAGATTGGTTGGCGATGACCAGATCAGAGTTCAGCGTTACGGTGTCTGTGTATTCCTCCCCCTCAATGGAACTACCACCGGCGTATGCAATATACTGGAAACGGTTTGACAAAATGTGTCACGTAGAAACAAATACTCACGAATTGATTGCGTGTGTCATGGCTCGTGTTAGTCTGCTTGTAAGGCTTGTTGGCTCCGATCCAGGTAAGTGAGCTTCCGGTGTCCACCAAGAGTGTGTCTGTATGAAATTGACAATACGTCAGATAAAGAAATTGCAGGAGCACGAGCAGCTCACAGTACGTTTCTGGACTCCCCACGCCAATGTCAGCGGTGTATATCATTGCAGTATTGTTTGCATTGACGGAAGAGCTGCCGCCAGCTCGTAAGATTTGAATTCGAGCTCGATCTGCAACCGCGATGTTCTTGATCCCATACGAGTTTATTCTTACGGCGAGCTTGAGAGCAGCTGTGCTTGACGTTGTCCGAGGATGAGGCAAAGCGCTCGCTGACAGCGAGAGAAAGGCAAGCGCCGGCAGGGCAAGCAGAGATGAAAATGATCTGGAGGGAACCATCTTCCTGAGCCATCCTTCTATAGCTGGGCCGTTTTATATGCTGTGTCGGTATTAAGACATCGGAAGCAACACCACCGGGGGCGAACAATAGCAAGGCTTCTAAGCGACTACGTTGACTTGAAACGCGCGAAGATACATTCGAGTTCCATGAAATTTATCTATGCAGGAAATGGGTGTCGGTTAGTAAATAACTGCAGCAGAAGTCCAGTTGGCCATGACCTTTGAATGACCTGCAGGATTTCATTACAGAACCTGTTTAGCAGAAACCCTCAGTCACGGTAGTGCAGAACTTAGAAGCGCGTAATTCTGCAATTTCAGACTCCTTTGAACACTGTTTACATAACGTTCTGCCAAGGATGTTGGCGGCGACGTAAGTCGAATACTCTTTGCTATTTTTTTCTCGTCATCAACCATGATGTGACGGCCTCCAATTTTCACCGCACGCGTGTCTAAACGTGAACATACGCTGAAACCATATCCCCGTCGCTGTCAACCACGATCTCCTGTCGCTCGCGCCTCCCACATCCAAGTGCCACCTCAGCAACATCCTGCAGCTATAGCGCGGCGCCGCCATCGGCGCAACCACCTAGGGCCAACCTCCTGCCACCTCCTGCCACACACTAACACACTCAACCAGGACCTTCCTCGCGCTGCCGCCACGACTTGCCACAGTCTTCTGTTTCCCACTTCGACCTCCTGCAACTTCCTGTCGCCCTTGCGTGACCGCCTGATCTCTCAACCTCCTGCACTTCCACAGTCCTCACATTTCAAGGGCAACGTCTTCTGCAATCTCTCACTACCCTGGCACGCCAACACAGACCCTTCCTCGCCCTTCCACGAATCTGGTGTTACATACCCGACCATGACCCGTCTCGTGCTACCGCTAACCCGGCGCTACCACCGCCACCTACCGCAGTTTCCCGCTGCTCATGTTGATCTCACCACGTCTCCCTGTCATTCTTGGTGCCTTAAGCCACCTGTGATATCTCGTTCTTTCCCTGGTTGGCATCCTACCAGTGGTTTTGCGCTCCTCATTTCGTTTCCTTCACACTACCTATGCCTATATGCATTTGGTCTAATTTATTGCATATTCACATCATATGCTTAGATGATGTTTTTTTTTTTTAATATAACGACATTGTTGACTCAAGCGTTGAGTGCTTGCTCGGTTTGCAAGCCCCACCCGAATGACACATTCTTCACCAAAGCAATAGATGACACGAAAAAGGGATACGGAAGAGGGACGATGTACAGTGGGAAGAAATATTATGCATGCCGCATCTACTAAGGCAGCATAAATACCTGTCGGTATATATACCTTGAAGTGAACATGTTAGGGGTGTCCTACCGGGTCTCTTAAAACTAAACAGATATTGATTAGTTGTGCTTTGCTCGGACATTTCATCGATACTCATTCACGCGTCTCGCACCTGACCATGTTGCTCGCATTTATTTGCCTAGCTGCCGTTAACACAGCACTCTTACGGAAAATTTGAAACGTTGAAGGCTGTACTACGGTAAAGGTTGTGCAAAGAAATGCAGGTTATGGAATTGGTAGATAGCTTCGGTCGTTTACTGCTGTCTTCTACTGCTGAGCGCAATTTTCACCGAGGAAGGGGAGTATCGGGCAGCTGGTTTGCATCTCCTGGTAGAGGCCTCGTGTTTAGCGGAAGCGGAGCAAGAATGTTTAAATTAGGATTAGTAGCGTATTGTTTCATGGGTATGACTCGGACGTCAACGGGGTAAAAATGAATGTGATGAAATAAGTAACGAATGGTCAAGTAACGAATGTTCTTGTGGGTATGTTGATGCGGCCCCGGGTACTTCTTGAAGGACCGTAGTTAGTTGGTCTTGGCATAGGTGTACTTAGTGGTGGCGAACCCGACTCGGGAGTTTGTCGTGTCATACACCGAGTAAAACCGCTCGCTGTAGAAGAACAATTCAGTAATCTATTTTCCCAGAAAAAATGTAGCTCAGCATACAGGAAACAGTAGCCGTTCGTAAAATCCAAGCCAGAACCAGAGAGGCTCCCAGTGGAACTGACGATCAGGTATATGCCGTCGGTAGTACCTTCAATGGCGCTGTTCAACGATCGAGGCCAAATTTGTCCATTCGGAGTGAGCTCATAAGTAACCCCACCAATAGTGAAATACAAGGATGAGAGCTGGTCGTACTGCTCAGATGAGATCTTTAACAAGCCAGTGGTCTCATCGAGGGTTGCTCCCGTAGCGGTCTGATACTTAGCGAAGGCATCTGAATAGTGAGTTAGAAAGGTTTTGATATCGTATACAGGACACCTACCGGAGGCAATGAGAATGAGTGTGGTCCCGGTATCGACAATACCAGCTGTCTCATCCAAAATGGGCTTAGATCCATAGCTGATGGATTGATCAATGCCCCAATAATCGCTCGCTGGAGATGTCGATGTGATCGGTACATAGTTGATGCCTCCAGTAATTTTGGAGGCATCATAACCACCGAATGTGAGCTCGCCACTACTATCATCAGAGGAAGCAGGCGCGAAGAACACTCCGAGTACTTCCGAACTGATTTTTTTCTGAGCATAGAGGTTGTCCGTCACAGTTGGAACTTCATCCGCATTACTGACGGTACCCTCCGTCAAATCAACTGGTCCAACACCAAGAATTCCATCCAGATCACCCATCCCGTCGCTTTCAGATGCGACGCCAATAGATTGGTTGTCGATGACCAGATCAGAATTGAGCGTTACAGTGTCTGTGTATTCCTCTCCAGAAACGTAACTGTTATCGCCGTATGTAACATACTGGAAACGGTTTGACAAAATGTATATGCCACGTAGAGACAAAGACTCACGAATGTACCGCCTATGCCATGGCTCGTAGAAGTCGGCACGTAAGCCTTGTTGGCCCCAATCCAGGTGTTTGAGCTTCCGGTGTCTATCAGGAGTGTGTCTGTATGAAATTGACAACACGTCAGACAAAGAAATCACAGGAGCACGAGCAGCTTACAGTACGTTGCTGGACTCCCCACGCCAATGTCAGCAGTGTATATCATCACGGCATTGGTTGCATTGACGGAAGAACTGCCGCCAGCTTGTAAGGTTTGGATTCGAGCTCGATCTGCAGCCGCAATGTTCTTGATCCCATACGAGTTTATTCTAACGGCGAGCTTGAGAGCAGCTGTGCTTGACGCTGCCCGAGCATGAGGCAAAGCGCTCGCTGATAGCGAGAGGAAGGCGAGCGCCGGCAGAGCAAGAAGAGGTGAAAGCGATCTAGAGGGAACCATCTTCCTGAGGCACCCTTCCTAGCTGGGCCTTTTTATATAGTGGTCGGCATTAAAAGTATCAGAACGTTACTCTAGCAACACCACTGAAGGCGAACAATAGCAGGCTTCGAACTTGAAGCGACTACGTTAGCTTGAAATGTGACTGGGCCCGGAACGAGTCCCATAAAATTCATCTATGCAATAAATCAGTATCGGTTAGTAAGTAGCTGCAGTGCCATGGAAGTCTGGCAGTGACTTTTGAATGACCTGCAGGATTTTATGACAGAACCTGTTTAGCAGAAACCCTCAGTAGTCCCGCTGAGAACTTAGAAGCGCATGATTCTGCAATTTCATCCTCGTTTGAACGTTGCTAGTGACGTTACGTTACGTTCTGCACTCACTTGATTTGAAGTTTATATTCTGGAAGTTCAGAACGTTCAGCCTGATTCCTCAGGCTGAATTCGAATGTGTTCGAACGCAAAGACTCCGCTGGTGGTTGCCATCATGAAACAACTATGTAGCTTGCGTTGATGGGAGCACGTATGGCTAGGACTCCGGAGTATGGGCACCCTTTATGACAGGGTGGCTCCGAGTCGGTTCCTATCCCAAAAACATTTAAATCGGCGACTGTTACCTAAGTCGATGATACTTTTTTTCTTCTCGTCATCAACCACTTTGGCGATACGCGCGTGTAAACGTAACGTACACTCACCCCTCATCTGAGTGTTGAACCGCTCGAAAAGCAGCTTTTCGAGCGACGCTTTAGGTATAGGTCAGGGAGTGCCTCTCGTACTCGCTGAATTTGGTGATATGATGCTGTTGTGTTGAAAGCGAACATTTTTTGGAGTGTGTAGTGACCTGTTAGCATTCCGAAATGGATCGGCTCTCTATGTTTCAGCAACCATGTTACCATTCAACTGACGTTATTTAGTAAAGGTAGGACCTGGTGAACTCTCTCACAAAGGTACAAGCTGAGTATTTTCCTTGTATTGTCCCAAATACTTGTACCTGACATATCAATGTATCACTTGCACCCAGGACATTCTCCTTCCCTTCCCGACCATCTCCCACAATGACATTTCTCTCCTTCCTTGACTATGTAAGGAAGCCTATGGCTTTGGTGCTGGATGCTTGCTTGGACCTACACTTCAACCATTGCAACACAGTAACTTTATTCCTTCACATCTCACTTCCCTCTACCTGTGTCCATGCCTCAGAACATTCACTCCAAGACCTACTCACTTCTCATTGACACTTATCTCAGGGATTCTGCCCAGCGCAAATACCTCTTTGATGCCATGCACACTTCTTCACATCTCACTTCCCTCTACCTGTGTTGTCCATGCCTCAGAACATTCACTCTGAGACCTACTCACTTCTCATTGACACTGATCTCAAGGATTCTGCCCAGTGCAAATATCTCTTTGATGCCATGCACACTTCTTTGCATCTCACTTCCCTCTACCTGTGTCCATGCCTCAGAACATTCACTCTGAGACCTAATCACTTCCCATCGACACTTATATCAAGGTCAGTAGCCTTGTCTGCAATATAAATTGCTTATCACCTGTAATATTGTAGCTGTTGAGTCATGTCAGATCTTATTGTGTAGCACTAATTTTTCCATCATATGAGAGTGTGTATGCAAACAAGCGACTGTGTGTTCCATCTCTGTGTGTGTGAGTTTTGTGTGAATAGAATTTTTGAACAGATCCAGCACCATATGCAACAGATCCACTGAGTGTCATACATCTCTGCCACTCCTTTCACCTTTCAACCACCCCTTGATCAATCTGCAACGTGGGGGGCTACTGTGATTCTGTTTGTCTTCTCCTACCACTCATTCTGTTCACCACCCAGCTCATCCTCAAACCTTATCGTTTTCCTTCATCGCACCATCATACCTGGCCGGTAGCTAGGCTGACTATAACGAGAGCATTACTTGGTATGTCCCTCTCTCCCTCTGTTCCGTCCCATTGTCTGATTATTCTTAGCCTTTTTCACCGTCTGCAACAACATGAGCACACTTTCCATCACCCATATGTGCATCCTGCTCACTTGTGTCATCCAACAGAACATTCCCTTACTTTCTTGACACCCAGCTCATTTGTGCTTAATGTCTCTCAGAGCATGCCACTGTGTCCTTGAATTCTAATTCTACCTTTGGCACTCCCATTTCTGCATCGGTGCCTCTGTCCATCCTTCCTGCATACATCATTCACACTCGTTTTTGTGTTCTACATATACGCCTTATTTCTGCATCTACTCGACTGGCATTCCCCTTTGAACTCACTAGCAGCCTTACAATGTTGACCCTCAGAAACATGGGTCAGGGCAAAGTGCTTTTTCACTGCCTAAAGCCTCCTCCAACTCATTGCATAACGACAATGAATTTTCGGTGGCGAGTGTAAAGACTGCTGCAACAACCAACTTGCTCTCTACACCTGCCTTGCCCGTGTCTGCTGTGATATCCCTCGCATCCCCCATGACTGCATCCCCAAGTACATCTACTATGCCTCTGCTCACTACCCAAATATGTCTACGCATGCTTTGCTGTGCTGTGCATAGGATCTCATTTGGGAGTTTGAGGGTTGTGAGTCCTGTTTTATCTGGCTTTTATTGACTTGACCTATGCATCTACAGCGTATCTCCTGTATGTAAAGCCCTCGTACTTTTGTAGATCCTGATTAAATTTACTACCCTTTTATTGATCAATGCCTATGAAACCTGAATGTCCCTACTTGACAAAGCCTATCAAAAGTCTTCCATCTTCCTCTTCAAGCTCTTCATCAATGCATTCCTGGATAAACTCAGACATGGCCCTACAACTATCTTCCACAATGACCATTTTTCTCCTGTCTCCCAGTGCACCAGCAAGTGTGCTGAATGATGATATTATAATTGGGCATTCAGAACTTGCACCATCAGCCATTGAAGGTGGTGCTGCCTTTGGTGGCCAATAGTCTTTGATGCTCGCACCAAAAACAAATGCTGTGGCCAATGAATTATATGTGCTGAGTTGCACTACAGTAGGTGGCCTATGTAAGGTCGAAAAGTGGGCAGCATTGTTTGAACTGATGATATTTGTAGCTTCATGGTGATCATATTTGATGTCGGGTGCTACTGGAGCTACTGGAGTTGTGTTCGACTGGGGTATGGCTGGTTGATGGGGGTGAGAGGGTACTATAGCATTGCTCGGTGGATTTGAAGTATTTTCTGTTTTAATGTGGTGGCGCTGCACTGTGACTGATAAATTTTGTTTAACTTAGGTCATTGTCAATTTAATAGCACAAACTTTGACGACTAACGCATCTCATTGCACGGTGAATGTGTGTGGCCTCATGGTCATGTGTTGCGATACCAAAGCTTGTGTGCTTGTTAATGCTCATCATTGCACCTTGGTCAAACCTCATTCCTTTCATGAGACCAGTGAGCAGTGTTAGATGAACACCTTCACGATAGGCATTGCAGTGTGCTTGCTCGTTTCTGTTTGTTGTTGCTGGGGAAGCCCTCCACAAATGCAGTGGAATGAGGCTGGATGGCTGGTAGATTGCAGGGAGTGCAAACTTCATGCCATCAAGCTTATCTCTGAGCCAGGCTGTTGATGAACAAGTTAGCAATGTCAGCAAAAATGTACAGCATGATTTCTACCTGAGGCTTTCAATCCTCCATTCCAAATGATATTCAATGTTGCATTAAGGTCTGGGTGGTGTTCTGATGTGGCTAAACTTAACATTGCAGAAAAAATATCCTGTGACACATGTGTGCACAGTGAGAGAATATTTCTCTTGTAGTGTGCCACACAAGTATGAAAAAAACACCGTAAATGATCATATGGATTGAGATCACAGATGTGGTGGTGTGGTTCATAGATACATTGTGCAGTGACTGAACAACATAGTTGCACACAGTACATCCCAAGGCCTGCATCATGAATAACTGTTATTCATATAGATAGTATGAAGATGTCAGTTGTACATACTGAGACCTTGCCCTTTATGACTGTCAGCAATGACAGTCTCGAAGCCAGTGCCATGAATATGGTGGAACATAATGGGCAAGCCTGTATCAGCACTCGCAATCTCAAAGATGTGCTGGAAAAGGATAACATGGGCTTTTGCAGTCTGTGACATTGTGAAAGCTCGAGCACCAACAACAGCTAAGTAGTGAGATGAATATGTATTGCCACAATAGAGACAACTTCAATAACTTACATCACATATGGTCAACATCCCATGATTCAATTTCAAATTCCTGCCAGCCTTGTGCATGTTTGAATGATGTGTCTATGGATAGATGTTTTGCTTGTAAGAGGTGTTGCGACATCTTTGTTGTCATACATATGACCAGTTTGAGCTCTTTCCCATGCTCGATGGGATGCACCTCAGCACAATGAACATAACATTGTTCAGGAGGGAGGCTTGCATGTTCATTTGCAAGCAAACAAGCACCTATGATCGAAATGCTTCAGAATATGGACTGTAAGCAAATAAGAAGAATCAGATGACATACCTTCAAAGCCAGTACCACTTGGGTACTTTTTGTTCTGAAGTGTGGTGATGAGACGCTGAACATGGTCTAAGTTGGCCAAGGATGGATGAAGGTCCTGGAGTATCGCATCTCGACCACATGATGTCAAGTCCCAAGCAAGTGCATGATGAAGCCCTTCTACAAATGTGGTGTCCAGGAAAATCTGTCTTGGTGTTGCATCAGCAAGTTTCCATTTCATCAGTGCTAACAATCCATGGACCACATTGACAAGTCCTGGTGGAGTTTTGACAGGTGCAGGTGGTGGGTGTGAATGAGGGTTTCGACAGACAATAAGAATGCGTGGGCATGCATGTAGGTCATGTGGAGTGAAAATGTTGTACTTTGCACTACAGTTATGCCTCCATTTTTGGAGTGTACCCTGCTTGAGTTTCCCATCTGGCTGACGATGCCAGTGAGCTGAAAATTAAGTGACAACCATCAATGTCTTACAGTTGATCATCCACCAAAGAAAAATGACTTACGACAAAGCTGCCTTTGTGATGAAGGACTTGTGACATAGTTGCATGGAATGAGGGGTCCATATCCTCGAGATTTGGCGAGATCTTCATGTTCCATAATGATATGCCCATCATCTTCGAGTAAGGCTCAGAGATACTGAGTGTCGCACTCTTGAATGTTTTGGATAAGTAAATGACCACAGCTGTGTCATGAGCATGTATTGCAACTACAAAAAAAGTCAGTCATTGATATTAGTATTGTCTGAGTCTTTGAGCCAAGTGCTAGAAACAACTCACCGGATGTAAGGTTGATTAAATTTGTCAAACTCCATGACAAGCTTCCATTGACACTGAGATATTTACTGGTCGTTGACTCAAAGGTGAGCATTCATAATCAAGGTCAGAGTTGAGTGTAGCTTTGTCAAGATACTGATCAGGTGTGAGGCCATTCTCAGTATCATCAGCAGTATCATTGGTGATATCTGTCACATCACTATTCTTGGAAGCATCAGAGTTGAGCTCAGCATCAAATGTGCACCCATGTTGGTTAAGAGCAACAAAAAAAGCGAAAGTCTTCTGAAAAACCTCCTTCTCAGCATTGTTTACAGATTTTGCTGCAGTAGTGGTAGCAATAATCAAAGAAGAGACCTCTAAAATATTGGTGAAATGATGAGTTGTTGTGTCGTGTGGTCATGCAGAGCAAATTTTGAGCCCTTTGCCTGGGCATGCATTAGATATAGTGCAGTAGAGTGAGAATGATGCTTACAAGATGTCTTGAGGTTAGAACAGGATACCAGTTGTCCTTGACCATCTCGCAGCATGAGACATTTAGACACATCACGACCTCCATGTACATTGCCCAATGGGTATTGAAAATTGGCCTTGGGGTGCTGAGAACAGTGAAAGGTAGAAGGATTGATGTTGAAGATATGTGCAATTGACTCATGGACACCAACAAATTCAATCAAGGGTCTTTTCTAGGGCCTTTTGTTTTATTGGAGCCATTTGGATCGTGAGAGGGAACAGTAATGTCGGGGATCATGCTGTCACTGGTACACTGCTAGCCCTAGATTGTTTTCTTTCCAAGTTGCAACCAGAAGAACTCATTCAATTTACAATCATTCGGCCATCAAGTTTTTGTCATGTCTACATCCTGAGTCAGGGTCCCTATCTTTGCAAAGGATGGAATTGCACTGTCACTATAGAGATTTTGGACGGTGCAAATTTTCAGGTGTGTCACATTCTTTTGTCCACCAGTCTTTGAGTTCTCCGTCCTAATATTCATCCCTATCAACCCTCACAGAAGGATCGAGGTTTCAAATGTCACCGATTTATGAGTTCTCCATCCCAATAATCAAGTTCTCCATCCCAATATTCATCCCTACCAACCCTTGAAGGACTTGGAGAATCAAAGCTTCGAATGTCACTGTTTTATGAGTTCTCCATCCCAAAATTCATCCTTACCAACCCTTGCAGGAGGATCGAAGTTTCGAACACCACCCAGAACCAAGATAAAAGCTGGACACATTCATTCACCCTCCTCGCCTCATCTGCACTACCCAACTTGAACCAATCATGCCTGTCTATCCCGAGATTTTTGAGGTGTCCATTGGACTTCAACATGCCAGCACAGAACTCTTGATTTTCTGTCATGAAGCTGGAAGCACTGTCAAGATTGCCTAGTAAGTCATACTGTATGCTGAATGTTAATTTTACTGACTCGATATAGTCCTATCTGTAGGTATACAGTGGTGCGTGTTGTCCCTAATGGGCTTCAAGCATGGTGTGTGTGCTGCAACATCATCTGGGAGTGTTTTTGTGCTCTTGTGACAGATGAGCGCATTCCTGTTCGCTTCTCTTCCAATGACATGGGACATTCCACAGCACTTTGTCACCATAACCTGAGCCAATGTGGCTTTTTGTGTAAGTTCTATCTTTCATTGTTTTATACCATGTTTTTCTGATTTGTTTTTGCAGTCAACCTTAATGAAGCACGACACACTGTGGAACTTGAGTCTACTTATCATCACATCCTTACTCAAGGTAAATTATACATTCAGCCTCATTTCTTCTCGGCCATTCCTCACTCACAAATGCAGGTCAGAACAGATCCCTGCATCTCACTATGCCAAGGTTGCTAAGGGCATTTCAACAATGACTTGCTGCTACACCATTTGGTCATGTGCAGCTCATGCCCTACTTTGAAGGCTACTGTGGCAGCCCTCGTTTACAATCATTGTTGAGCGCTGGACCAGTCCATCACACCACTCATTGTTGTCATTATTCTGGTAAGACAATCATGTTTTTTTTAATTAAATTCTACAAGACACTACTAATACATAATGTGACTAGGTGTGGACCATATGGAACATCCAATGCGTCAGCAACAGATCACCAACCATGTCCATCATGCATCAGTGGACTTGGGAGAGGCTGCAGGCCATGTCAGAGGAACACAGAATCACCATGGAGACTTGTCTGCTGCAGATGCTGACATACTGCAAACCCTTGCAGCAGGAGGAGGGATTTCACAGTATGCAGAGATTGGACTGTTGGAGGAATGTGGTAGCTGTGGGTTACGGTTTGTGAGTAGCGCACTGAGGGCACACATCCCAACTTGCATGTTTCTTTTGTAGTCCTTCGCTTAGCCTTGGCTGGTATAGAGTTGTTATGTTGCAGGGGCAGTGGCTGGAGTCCTGCCCAGGTATGTAATTGATGCATTCAGGGATTTGTGTTTCCCACCCTGTTGGGAGCCAATCTATTTTGGAATGCTAACAGGGCACACATCACTCCATTTTTTGCAATAACAGAGATGCTGATATGATATGATATTGTATGATAGTACCATATGATAACAACTACAGATTATAATACAGAGATATCAATATCATCAAGCCCTCCAATCAAGCAACCTCTACAGAGCATTTGTGTGTGCAAGTTCACCCATCTATCCCATAACTGCAGTGTCTCCCTAATTGTTGTTGAGATGAAACCCATAAATTTGTTGTACCAAGACTTGAAAGTTGCTGCTGCAAAGTTGATGGAGTGGTGGGATCCAGGCATGAATTCTTGAAGATGACAAAGGACAGTGCAAGCACCCATGGCCATAAGGTTATTGAATGAGTCCATCCATTTAAGTAGGACGAATTGTGCATAACCCATGAGGAAAGTCACATTGAGGACTACATTAATAATGGCCTCATGTTCAAATGGGTAGTGAATATCTTGTCCATTAGGCAGCTGTAATTGTTCAGTGAGATTCAATGAAATATAAATCGACTCATTTTGTGAACTTGTCCATAAATGAACTCAAGTGTTTCTTCGTCTGTGAGGTGCTCCACCACAACAATCTTGTGTTGGAGTTTGGATACAGACAACCAGATTGATGGGCGCAAGTCATATAGGACTTGGACAAGTCCTTGTGCAACAGTTCTGAATGTACTAAGTATGATTGAAACAGGTGCAGCCACTGTCTTGTACATTGCAGTGATGTTGTTTGAGGCCCACAGCTTCAAAGTTTCTGATAAAGTTAATTTGTTAATGGCAGAATGTACACATTTGGGCATGCAACTTACATTCATTGAAAATTGACGAAATGGCAACACACAAGCTCACCTCTATGAAGGTCTCCTTCTGATCATGGGTCAGTAACCCACATTCATTGATTACCTTCCCTGTCAGGTTTTTCTTCACCACCTTGGCTATTTCTTTATGAGTGTTATTTTTGGGGTTATAGGGTAAATTAGAGTCCAAGGGTGCAAAGGACAGGGGAACAGTTAGTAATGAAGATGATACTGCCAAGGTCCCAGGTGGTGTGGATGTGGGCGTGGGCTGTGGAATTGGTGCTGATGATGTGGATGTGGGCACAGGCTGAGGCTGAACAGTTAGTAATGAAGATGATCCTGCTGAGGTCCTGGATGGTGTGGATGCTGGCATGGGCCGTGAAATTGGAGCCAATGATGTGGATGCGGGTGCAGGCTGAGGCTGCAAATTTGAGGTAGAAGATGTAGAAGCCACTCCCCTTGGTGGTGTGAGAGGAGGGAGCATGAAATGCCATGTTTGCATCCTCTCTACTGTTGAATTGTTGCCTATGGACTTGGTTTCAATCAATAAAAAATTAATGCATAGATAAAATGAGACTTACAAGTACCATGCTGTCCATGAATAGGCCTGGTACATTGTCATGGAAGTGCATCGGTGCAAGCACATATGCAACCTCGAATCTTGATGGGTCACAATGTCTGATTCAAACATTCCGATCAGGACCAGATGTCCTGGGGTACTCCCTGGTGAGCACAGACCTTTGAGGTGAGTTTATCACCCCTCGGTAGCTGGGTGGTATAATGGTAGTGCCGGGTGGCCTCATGTAGTAGTTGGGGTATGATTGCTGGGGGTGCTGCGATGGCATGTGATGGGGAGGTGCATGCTGGAGAGGCAAATGCTGGGGAGGTGCATGGTGGAGAGGCAAGTGCTGGGGAGGTGCATGGTGGAGAGGCAAGTGCTGAGGATGTGTGTGCTGGGGAGGCAGTGAGTTGTAGGAGAATTCCATATCATTGATGATGGATGGCGGTTGTTCTGCTGTACTGCCCACTTGGTCTCTGGATTGATTCCCAGTGATATTAAGTCCAGGTTGTCTAACAACTGGGTAATTCTGTGAGTAGTCAGCTGAGTCAAAGCCAAGTCCATCACGGAACACATACTCTGGTTACTGCACCACGTCTTTGTTGTCCTCCAGTACCTCTGGCAGTACTTGCAGGTGGCATGTGTGGATCTAGAGAGTTGACTTTGGTAGAGGCTGTTTCTTATGAGTCAGTTTACATGCCTTAGGTTGCTGATCACTTGACATAAACAAGTGTGGTGATGATCATAATGGATTTCTCGAATAGGTAAGGAAGGTATACATGCAGGACAGCACATGTTGATGTGGCACTATCTATCATTGAATTGAAAAAGGGGTTTG